TTTAGGCAATCACATTGCACAACATAAAGCGGAATCCATTTTTCTGAGATAAACTATCCACGAGAAGTGTTGCGATGCAACAAGACAAAGAGACATGGATCGACAAACCAGAAAAATTGCAAAGAAAATAAAAATAATGATTACGTGAAATGTGCAGAAATTTAGTATGATATTATCAAAACAATTTACTTATTATTATTGTAATATTGTTAATTAATATTTTTTTTCTTTATTCATTATATTATCCCCATAGTCTTATAAGTAAAAATAATATAAACTAACACTATTTCCGCTAAACAGTTTTTCTCTCGTAATACTATCAATTATCTAATGATTTTATTAACTCAAGGGAGACTCTGTTGCGTGCAAGCTCGATTTTAATTATCTTCACTTCAACACGCTGACCGACATGTAGTGTCTCTTTTTTCATACGCGAGAAGTGTATCAGTCCATGTGTGTCGATGCCTACATCTATAAACGCTCCGAAATGCGTAACATTGCGCACAACGCCGCTCAGTACGGTATCGACGCTCAAATCTTTGATACTTCGCGCTCCGGTGCGAAATAGCGGACGATCCGACTTCAATCGTATATCTTCATCCTTCTTCATGGTCAGAGCTTTGACTATAATCTCCATAGTAGCCTCGTTAGTATCGAACTGTGCGGCTAGTTTTACACATCCCACTTTCACGTGAGAATTTATTCTGTCAATAAATGCCGGTGTGCCAAGATCGTCCAGTTTGCATTCGCAGTGCTCTATGAATTTATTCGCAATAGCGTACGATTCCGGATGGATCCACGTTTGGTCTAAAAGATTAAGATCGCTGTTCGATTTCTTCGATTTCTTTGATTCCGCGCCCCTTTCTGCCGGGGTGCCGCTAATCACTGCTGTTTCCGGCAGGATTCTTATAAATCCTGCACACTGCTCGAATGTTTTACTGCCGATACCCTTCACATTTAACAACTGCTCTCTATTCTTGAACGGTCCATGTTTGATACGCCACTCTATAATGCTCGCGGCCCTAGAATTCGTGAGACCAGCTACTCTCCGCAAGAGACATTGCGAAGCTGTATTAATATCAACTCCTACATAACTCACAGCCTCTGAAATCACCTGTAATAATTTACACAAACATCCATCTGTTGTATATGTGGCGTCCAAAAATTACCGCGTTATTATATTCGATAAATTTTTTACAAATCTCAATTGATATTTTCTTAGTTAGTAATTAAATTGAAAAATAGTGATCGTTAAAACTCGTTACTGTTAATAAACAAGAGAATTATACAAAAGTTAATTTATCCTTTTTTTAAATAATGAAAATTGTTGCTACAGGAAAGAGTAATTTCAAATCTGTTAAAAGATATTAATATAAAAAATTATAAATTAAAATTCTAAATACAATAATTTAGATATATAAAGATCTAATAACATATATACATTATCATGTAGTATTCTTTCTATGTTGCAATTTTTTCATTCAATTATTATTAAATAACAAATTCATACTAACTTCGTCTAATGCATTCAGCAATTGCTTTTCGGGAAGATCATGCTGATACTGCCCGACTCCTAAGTGCTTCGGTTCTATTTTGACTAACTCTGCCATTGGATCCTGCAAACGCCTCGCTATTGATATAGCCGACACCAGGTTCGGATCGAGATTCGGAAATTCCGATTTTGCTTCGGCACTGCAACTGTAAATCGAAGCTCCGCACTCGTCAATGATGCTATACCTCACATTCAGCGAGCCAAACATCTTCGATTCGATCATCTTTGTCAGAAACATTTCGGTTTCCCTGCACGCCGTACCATTCCCTAAAGCCAGTATCGTGCATTTGTGTTTATTCACTAGCTCCGCCAATGTTTTAGCCGACTGTTGGAATGCTTTTTCATGATTCTTCATATGCGGATGAATGACAGCCGTATCAAGAATATTGCCGTGTTCCGATACGACAGCGAGTTTGCATCCGTGATAGAAACCTGGATCTATGCCGAGGACAACTTTACCACGCACAGGCGGGATGAGCAGTAATTGTTTAACGTTCGTCACGAAAACTTTTATAGACGCCGTTTCCGCCCTCTCCTTCACCTCGCTCCTCACGCGACGCATCACCAACGGCTTAATTAGCTTCTTGTAAGTGTGATCGATACTGCTGTTGAGCAAATCCCGATGTAACGTTGTCATGTTCCCTGTAAGACTTTGTCGATGTATATATTGCCATACGCAACAGCGTTTGAACGACTGCTCAAAAGCATCTGGAACGACCACTTTTACATTGATATATTTTTGTGATTCGGCTCGATTGATAGCGAGCACCTGATGCGGCCTAATGTTTTTCTCGCTCGCCTTAAAATTGAAGTACCCTTCATACTTATGCTCGTTCGACTTCGGAGACTTTTTTGGATCTTCTTTAGTCGCTTTACACTGCGTCGTTTGTATCT